CTGCTGCCAAGTACCCGAGTCTGTCTTTGGTCCCTGTACGGGCCCCTTTTTCCTTTTTTTTTTGCTGTTCTCCTTTGCCCAAAATCTGCTTGGGAAAGTGCCACCCTTTTAGGTCTCTTCACAACGGGGCCTTTTGTTTCAATTTTTTTTACATAGGGGGGGCAGGGGGAAAAATTTCGGGGCCCCACCCAGCTGTGAACCCGGGCCCCCAATTTTTGCCTTTGGGCCCCCCCCAAATACCGGGCCCCCCTCAAGCCTTTCAGCCCAAATCCCAGAGTCTGTTTAAAGGTCCCGTTCGGCCCCCCCATTGGGGGCTGTCTCCATCGCCAAAACTTGGTGCCAAAGTGCCCCTTTTCAGGTTCTTCACACTGCTGGTGTGTTTTAAAAATTTTTTTTGGGCATAGGGTGCCGGCAGATTACGGGCCTCCAAAAGCTCTGCCAGGCCCCCCATCTGCCATTGGGCCCCCCTATACCCCCTCCCCCCTGCAAGGGTGCCAAAGGTCCCGAGTCTCTCATGGGTCCCTGACGGCCCCTTTTTTCCCCTTTCGGGTGTCCCCCAACCCCCACAAATCTGCTGCCATGTGCACATTCAGGGTTTTCCCTTTACACTGCTGGTGTGTTAAATTTTTTGAAAATGGGTGCTGCAAGATAAAAGGCCTTTACATAGCTGCTGCCAGGCCCCTAATCAAGGGCCCGGGGGCCCCCATACCCGCCCAACCCCGCTGCTGCCAGGGCCCAAATCTCTCATTCCATGTTTCCACTTTCAGGGCTCTTCACACTGCTGGTTTTGTTTAAATTTTTTTACATTTGGGTGCAGGCAGATTACGGGCCTCACAAAAGCTGGGTTTCCAGGCCCCCAAACCCCGCCCTGGGGCCCCCATATACCGGGGGCCCCCCCTCATGCTGCTGAAGTCCAAGGTCTTTTCATGGGCCCTGTACGGCCTCCCTTGCCCGCCCGTCTTTTCCCTCCCCCCACACTCTGCTGCCAAAGTGCCATTTCAGGTCCCCTTCCATGCCCGGGGGTGTTAAATTTTTTGACATTAAGGGGAGGGAGGCGATTTTCGGGGCCTCAAATAGCTGATGCAAACCCCTAATTTTCCCCAAAGGCCCCCCCATTACCCCACCCCCCTCAGCTGCTGCCCAATCCAGAGTTGGCATGGGGCCCGTTTCTCCCCCCCAAATTTCTGCGTCCCCCCTCGCCACACTCTGCTTGGGCCCTGTGCCCTTTCAAAGGGGCTCTTCACACTGTGGTGTGTTAATTTTTTTTACATAGGGTTTCACAGATTAAAGGGGGCCCACAAAAGCGCTTTCCAAAGGCCCCCCAACTGCCCCTGGGCCCCTATATAAACCCCTTTTCCCTCCTTTCTGGCCCGCCAAAGGGTTTCCGAGTCTTCATTTGGGGGCCCCGTTTCGGCTTTCCCCTTGCTGCTGTCTCCCTCGCCACACCTGCTGAAATGGTGGGCCCCTTTCAGGTCCCCCTTTTACCCGGGGGTGTTAAAAATTTTTTTACATAGGGTGGGGTGCAAGTAACGTGGGCCCCAATAGCGCTGCCCGGCCCCCAATCACCATTTGGGCCCCTTTTTAACGCCCCCCCTCCTGCTTTCCTTTCCAGGTCCGGGGTCCTTTAAAGCCCTGTGCCCCTTTCAGGTCTCTTCACATGTGGGTGTGTTTAATTTTTTGAAATAGGGGCCCGGCGATTACGGGGGCCCCCCACCATAAGGCTGCTTGGCCAAAAACCCCTAAAACTGCCAGGGGGGCCCCCAATTTTAAACCCCCTCCCCCAAAGCGCTTCTCAGGGTTTCCGAGTTCCCCTTTGGGGCCCTGTACGGGCCCCCCCATTTTCCCGCTTTTTTTTCCCTCGCCACACTCCCGCCCCCTGCCACTTTCAGGTTTTCCTCACACCCCTGTGGTGTGTTGAAATTTTTTTTACATTTGGGTGGGTGGCAGATTAAGGGCCCCCATAGCTGCTGCCAGGGCCCCTAAACTGGGCCCGGGGGCCCCTTTTTTAAAAACCCCCCCTTTTTAAAAATTTCCAAGTCCAGAGTCTTCATTTGGGGCCCGTACGGCCTCCCATTGCTGCCGGGGCTCCATGCCAAAACTCTGCCCCTGGGGCCCATTTTAGGTTCCCCACAAAAAACTGCTGGTGTGTAAAAATTTTTTGACATAGGGGCGGGGAGATTACGGGCCTCCCCCTAGCTGCTTTCACCAAACCCCAATTCTGCCCTGGGCCCCCCATTAATTTCCGCCTCCCCAGCGAACCCGCCAAGTCCCGAGTTGTCCTGGGGCCCTGTACGGCCCCCAATTTCGCTGTCTCCCCTTTCCACACTCTGCCATGTGCCCCTTTCCCGGTCTCCTCCACTGTGGTGTGTTGAATTTTTTGACATAGGGTGCTTTGGGAGATTTTGGGCCTCCTATAAACGCTGCCAGGCCCCTTTTTCTGCCATGGGCCCCCCATTAACCCCCCTCCCCCATGCTGCTGCCAAGTTTTAGAGTCTGTATGGGGGGCCCTGTACGGCCTCCCATTGCGCTTGTCCCCCCATCGCCACAAAATCTGCCCCTTGCCCCTTTTTCCCGGTTTTCCCCAAAACCCGCTTTTGGGGGTTGAATTTTTTGGAAAATAGGGTGCTTTGGGAGATTTCGGCCTTTTATAGCTGCTGCCAAAGGCCCCCAATCCCGCCTTTAAACCCCTTTAAAAACCGCCTCCCCCAAAACTGCTGCCCAAGTCCGAGTCTGTAAAGGGTCCCTGTACGGCCTCCCAAATTTCTGCTTTCCCTCGCCCAAAACTCTGCCTATGTTTTTTCCACTTTCCCGGGGTTTCCCCAACCCCAATGCTGGTGGGGTTTTTTTAAATTTTGGAAAATTGGGGGGCGGCAGATTACGGGCCTCCCATAGCTGTGCAGGGGCCCCTAAACTGCCGTAGGCCCCCTATAAAAAACCCCCCCCCTCCCCATGCTTTCTGGCAAAGGCCCAGGGGTCTCTCTGGGTTTCCCCCTAACCCGGGCCCTCCCCCCTTTCTGCTGGGCTTTCCCTCGCCCAGGAAAGTACTCTGCCAAAGGGGCCAAAAATTAGGTCCTCCTCACACTGTGGTGTGTTTTTCCCTTTTTTGTTTTAAAGGGGGCTGGAAATATGGGCCCCCTCCCCTAACTGCTGCCAGGCCCCCAATCTGCCGATGGGCCCCTATACCCCCCAAAACTCCCTCATGCTGTGACCCTTGCAACAAAATGGAAATTTAACCCACAAATGTTAGACCCCCCTTTACCCAACCCGCCCAAAAAAGGCCATCACAGTTTTCCCGAAAGGTTTAAAAAGGATAAAAGGTACTTCCCCCGTGTAACTTAGATGTCAGCCAAATTTGGCCCGGCCCCTGCGTGAAAAAACCCTGGCGGGGTTGCTCAGGGCCCTTTGGGGGGCCCCCCACGCTATTTTAAGGGGAAATCGGCCGGACTATTGGGGGGTGAAAGCGTCAAAATTTTCTTTGCCGCCGGGGGCCCAAAAAAAATGTTAAAAAAAAGGCTTTGGGCAGGGTTGGGGGTTGAAAGGGCGACAGATCCAACCGCCAAAGGCCCCCGTGGGGGGGGAAATGGAAGAAGAGGGGAGGTTTAAGGAGGACATTGGTTTCTCAGGAATTATTGGGGTGAAATGGGTGGTTTTTTTCCCCTTTAGCGGTAAAAGGAGTGGGGGAGCAGGGAGTTTTGGTAGAGGAGGAGGAAGAGGGGACAGAGGCCCCAAAAACGCACCGTGGCAGTTGCTGTGGAGTTGGAGGCAGGGTGGAGTCCCTCGCATTCCTTGGGCACAAATGGGCCCATAGCATCGCTCGGTTGCTTGTCGTTTCCTTGCGTCAGCGACAAAGCCGAATAATACAACCGCATCAGACATGTTGGCCATGACTTTTGCTGTCCACACTTGTTGGACCCTCGCTACCGTTCAAAAATGGTGGCTCTTTTTTATACAACTTGATGAGTGGGGAGGCCACAATAACGTACTAGAAAAACCACCTATGTAGTAGTCAGGTCGGTCTCTGACTGTCATGCGCCAATCGTCACATCATCAGACAATGTGTGGACCCTGGTGGGAACGTGTGTGCGCTTTTAAGTTTTCGGTTCCGCTGGCCATGGCAGGACTGGGGAGGGGGTTTGGAGTGGTAGGGGAGCTGTGGCAGCTCCTCCAGCAAGCGGCTGCCTCAGTCTGACAGTCGTTGTTGTGTAGCTTCTTCTTTCAACAGCGCTTGTGAGGAAAAACATTACTAACCAGCCGCAGGCAGCAGCAGAGCAGCATCTGGTGCGACCTGGAGCAGGACTCTCAAACAACAGGCTTAGGCCTACGTGGGACAGCACCCTGCCAAACCGAGTGTTAGACAATCCCTCCTTGACTACTATGGGCAACGAAACTTGACCTTTGGCCCACCTCCAACTAGCTGAATTTGCCCTTGAAAGGCTGTCATGCCCGGCCCAGTTTAGCGTGCATCGGAGCGCGTGTTTAGTGCGGCAGGAGGGTATTTGCAACTCCGCGGAGGACACGACTGTCCACCCAAAGTGTGGAGAAGACTCACGTATTGTGAAATGAATCAGGCGTGGATTAGTCTTGGATTTCTAACCACCAGTTCCTGACACAACTGACTAAATCCGCCATGAATCATGCCCCAGAAAATGAGTGCCACTTTCAGGTCTCCTCACACTGCTGGTGATGTTCCATTTTTTGTCATTTAGGGTGCTGGCAGATTACGGGCCCTACCCCATAGCTGCATGCCCGAGGCCCCTAATGTAATCGTGCCATTCATGGGCCCCTATACCGCCTCCTCATGCTGCTGCCCCAAGTCCAGGAGTCTCTCATGGGTCCCTGTAACGGCCTCCCATTGCTGCTGCCTCCATCGCCACACTCTGCCATGTGCCACTTTCAGGTCTCCTCACACTGCTGGTGTGGTTCCATTTTTTGTCTTGAGGGTGCTGGCAGATTAACTGGGCCTCCATAGCTGCTGCCAGGCCCCTTAATCTCTGCCATGTTGGGCCCCTATACCGCCTCCTCATGCTAGCTGCCAGGTCCAGAGCGTTCTCTCATGGGTTCCCATGTTACGGCCTCCCATTGCTGCTGATCTCCATCGCCACACTCTGCCATGTGCCACTTTCAGGTACATCCTCACACTGCTAGGTTGTGGTGTTCCATCTTTTTGTCATAGAGGTGCTGGCAGATTTACGGGCCTACCCATAGCTGCTGCCAGGGCCCGTAATCTATCTGCCATGGGCCCTCGTACCGATGATCTCCTCATGATGACTGTCCAGGACCCTAAATCTGTCATGGGCCACTGTTGTCGCTTGTTGGCATATTCGGCCTCGTTTCAGATGCTCCTTGATCTCCTGCTATACTCCTCTTCACGGATTCCTTGTCAGCAGTCTTTCTTCGGAATCCGTTTACAGTGATGGGACAACAGTTTGCGACAAGCGACGCAACGACACGGTTGCGAACGGTGCAGAAGCTGAATAGTCCTCCATGTCCAAGTTGCTGCTGCTCCAGGTACTCGTAATCTGTCATGCGCACCTGTACCGCGCTCCTCATGTTGCTGCCAGGTCCCAGAAGTGTGTCATGGGGCCCTCGTAGCCGGACTCCTCATGCTGCTGCCAGGCCCGTATAGTAATCTGTCCATTTGGGCCCCTGTACCGACCTCCCATGCTGCTGCCACTGGTCAGAGTGTGTGTCATGGGTACCCTGTACGGCCTCCCATTGCTGCTGCCAGGCCCGTAATCTGCCATGGGCCCCTTACCGATCTCCTTCATGCTGCTGCCAGGCCCTGTTAATCTGTCATGGGCCCCTGTACAGCCTCCTCATGCTGCTGGCCAGGTCCAGAGTGTGTCATGGGTCCCTGTACGGCCTCCCATTGCTGCTGTCTCTATCGCCACACACTCTGCCATGTGCCACTTTCAGGTCTCCTCACACTGCTGGTGGTTTTCCATTTTTGTCATAGGGTGCTGTATGGCCTCCCATTGCTGCTGCCTCCACCGCCACACTCGTGGCTCCACACTCTGGTTTTGGCCCGTGACTGCCCAAATGAGTGAAGTGTGCGGTGATTCTAAGATCTAGACGGCAACTCATCTGCATGTCATACTGACTGACAGTATTATTTCTCTTCCCCAGCAGACTCCAAGGGCATTTTAAATTAAAGGTACAGTGTCTGCACTAATATTAAGTCTCTCTCTCTAAGCCTAGAAACACCCTTTTTTAAGTTAAATTCACAGCGAATTTATTCGACTCGAATCGAATATTGTCCACGAATTCGCCGAATCAGTCGAATCGAATTTTTCATTTCTTCGCTCATCTCTATTCATAAGCATAGCACCACCAGGCAGAGTAATTGAAGATGACATCTGATGTAGATGATGGGCTCCTGAAATCCATTGCTCTTTAAATCTCAATAAAAGGTTTACATGATGGAAATAATGTCACATTATTACTTTTCTTTTTAAATCTGATGTTACGTGAATAATCTGGGTGCATAAGGAAAGGTGAACTTGCAAATTTTCAATGTAATCATTTGTTATTCTGATCACATCCTGCTAAAATCAAAGCATGTGTCAGCACTGTCCTATCACTTTCCATGTAATTGTTTTTAAGGTTAAGTGGAAGAGGAAATATGCTGAACTATTGGATTTATTCGTTTATTTTTTAATGTAGTGGTTTCAAGCACCCTGGTCATTTCAGAGTGTGAAAATGATCCTTTAGTAAGCCACTTGCTTAGATTTTATGTACATTCAGTTAATGTCATGGTGTTGTCTCTGGTATCTGAAACAAAAACCTGTTTAGAGAGAGATCTGGAGGCAGCCATGGTTAAGTCTTCTAAAAATACTAGTTGCCTGGCTGCCATAGATACATTTTTGCTGCAGTAAGTTTGAGATGCTGAGCAGAACTAGTTTACAGAACAGGAGATTTAGTCTTGTGAACCAGAAAGCAGGAGGCCAGGTAAAAAACCACTGTAAAAGTGCTCCAGTGGTTGGGACGACGTGTACAGATCACAGCACTCAGGTGGTGGAACTGGCAGCGAATGCAGAGCTAGTGGGAGTCCGCTCATTGGAAAAGCTGGTCAGCATCTCTCCTCATTCATTCCCAATGACTGACAGGGGAGAGTGAAAGGTCAATGGGCGGCTGGTGGGCGGGCCGCAACGTGTTTCCGAGACCCTGTCTCCTTTGTCCAAGCAGGCCCGCCCCTTGGACAGTGGGATATTTAAGAGCTGTCAGGTGGCCGGCAGAGACCAATCAGAAGGGTGTGGGAGGAGCCAGACCGTGGGAGAAGAATGTCAAAGATGAAGGGGTGGTCGGAACACCATATCGAGCAATAAATAAAGAAGGGGACGTACTGTATACACTCACCGGCCACTTTATTAGGTACACCTGTTCAATTGATTGGTAACACAAATTGCTAATCAGCCAATCACACGGCAGCAACTCAATGCATTGAGGCATCTAGACGTGGTGAAGATGACTTGCTGAAGTTCAAACCGAGCATCAGAATGGGGGAAAAAATGGGATTTAAGTGACTTTGAATGTGGCATTGTTGTTGGTGCCAGATGGGCTGGTTTGAGTCATTTAAAAACTGCTGATCTACTGGGATATTCATGCAAAACCATCTCTAGGTTTCAGAAAATGGTCCGAAAAAGAAAAAATATCCAGTGAGCTGCACTTGTGTGGAGGAAAATGCCTTGTTGATGTCATAGGTCAGAGGAGAATGGGCAGACTGGTTTGCAATGATAGAAAGGCAACAGTAACTCAAATAGTAAACAATAACAAGCCAGCCAATTCAGTGCTCATAGACTACAATGGAAACAGAGAAATAAAAGCAGTGTAAAATACATATTAGTCCATGGTGAGATCCGCATCAAAGAGTGGGGCAGCTGGATCACAATGGAGTGGAGCACAAACGCCTCACCAAGGATATGGGGAATCCCTCATGGACATGCAAAAGGGAAGGACTCATAACATCTAAGACTCATTTTAAGCCTTCCCCTGGTAATTAAATTTTAATAGCTGTTATCATCCAATGGTTTCAGAATATCCCCAGAGGACAGTTTTGCAGGCTCAGAAAAAAACTGTACTTCTGATGCTGACTATGCTGATTAGGGTCAGGCCTTGATCAACAGATTTTTGGATAAGGGTTATGATCCAGAATTGGTTCATAGAGCCTATCAGAATTGTTTTTTTCTTTTTTAAACAAATATGTATAATTCCTCATATACTAATTATCTGTATTTAATTTTTATCTACTATGTAATGAACTCAATTATATCCATTTGTTTTTATAAATTGTCAGGGCTGTACTTACATATGTATGTATATTTTATAATTTTTTTATATACATCCCTATTATTCATATGAGAGGTTTCTCTAATGTGTCAGCTATATTTCACACACACACACACACACACACACACACATATATATATATATAGTACAATTCACTTAATAATGACAATAAGATAGACTGCACAAGTAAATAAAACAATATTGTAATAAAATAATGTTTTAAATGAAAAAAGGACACAAAAAATATATATATAATTTTATATTTTTATTGTGTCTTTTTTTTCATTTAAAACATTACTTATTATTACAATATTGTTTTATTTACTTGTGCAGCCTACCTTATTGTCATTATTAAGTGCATTGTATATTTTTTCACCGTGTGGAGGAGACAGCCTGTCATAGTATACACTTTCCCTTACGATCCCGTTCCATCGTTGCACTGCTTAGCTTTCTCATTGACTCACGCTGTTCAGCTAGCCTGTCCACTGCCCTTTTCTTAATTGGTTCTTTTGGCCGGGTGTAAAGCCTGTAAATTTTCTTTCTCCCCTCTGGGCGGACCAACTTGATAAAGGAGGCGGAGCAACTTGTTGTGGCCTGCTCATCTGTCCTTCATCCGTGCCTGTCACATTTGTGTTGGTTGGCGGTAGTGAGAGGGGAGATAAGCTGCCAGCATTCATCCATGAGCAGATCCCCATCTTGCAGCTGATGACAGTCTACACTCGCGTGCAGACCCCTGTCTGTGCCTTGCAGCGGATGGCAGTCTATCTACGCTGGAGAGAGCTGCACCTGCATGCCATCCCAATCAACAGAGCTGTTCACAGGTTGCTCCGATGTAAGTGTGCTACAATAAAGCATTATTGTTTTTATCTCACATTCACCTGGCGCCCTGCTCTGTTGTTTAACAGTAACTCAAATAACCACTTGTTACAACCAAGGTGTGCAGAATACATCTCTGAATGCACAACACGTCGAACCTTGAAGCAGATGGGCTACAGCAGCAGTAGACCATACAGGGTGCCACTCTTGTCAGCTAAAAACAGGAAATGGAGGCTACAATTCTCACAGGCTCATGTAAATTGGGTAATAGAAGATTGGAAAGATGTTGCCTGGTCCAATGGGTCCAGGGGCGGACTGACCATTTGGAAACTCGGGCACTGCCCGAGGGCCTGGGGTCAGTAGGGGGCTACATGAGATGCCCCTGGTACCTTTTTCATAGGCTTTTTGAGTTTGGGCAATGAAACAGGGGCCCCATGATCCCCTATTGCCCGGGGGCCCCATGAGTTGTCAGTCCGCCCCTGGATAGGTCTCGATTTCAGCTGCAACATTCAGATGGTAGGGTCAGAATTTGACATAAAGAACACAAAAGCATGGATCCATCCTGCTTTGTATCAATGGTTCATGGATGTGCAGCAGAACAATCTGCAGCAACTGCGTGACGCTATCATGTCAATAAAAAACAAAATCTCTAAGGAATGTTTCCAACACCTTGTTGAATCTATGTCACGAAGAATTAAGGCAGTTCTGAAGGCAAAAGGGAATCCAACCCAGTACTAGCAAGGTGTACCTAATATAATAAAAAAATAAAATATCAAAAGAACACATGGAGCACTGATGTTTACTTAAAGACCAACCAAAGTAAAAACAATTCTATAAAATCACACAATACCAGAATCTGTGATAACAAGTACCTACTACTCTATTGAGAAGTTAATGATAATGTACTCACGTTTATACATACACATACTGTATATAGGGATCCAATCAAAACATATTGCATTGAAAATGGATAATATAAAAACTACATACATATAAAAAAAATCTATGTTCATATATACACATATACATACATATACACACACACACATATATATATAAAAAGTCTACACACCCCTGTTAAAATGTTAGGTTTCTGTGATGTAAAAAATTGAAACAAAGATAAATAATTTCAGATCTTTTTCCACCTTTAATGTGACCTATAACCTGTACAACTCAATTGAAAAACAAACTAAAATCTTTTAGGGGGAGGAAGTAAGCATAAAAAACTAAAATAATGTGGTTGCATAAGTGTGCACACCCTCTTATAACTGGGGATGTAGCTGTGTTCAGTATTAAGCAATCGCATTCAAAATCATGTTAAATAGGAGTCAGTACACACCTGCCATCATTTAAAGTGCCTCCGATTTACCCCAAATAAAGGTCAGCTGTTCTGGCAGGTCTTTCCTGCCATTTTCTTAGTCACATCCTACAGCAAAAGCCATGGTACGCAGAGAGCTTCCAAAGCATCAGAGGGATCTCATTGTTAAAAGGTATCAGTCAGGAGAAGGGTACAAAAGATTTTCCAAGGCATTAGATATACCATGGAACACAGTGAAGACAGTCATCATCAAGTGGGAAAAAATGGCGCAACAGTGACATTACCAAGAACTGGACGTCCCTCCAAAATGGATGAAAAGACAAGAAGAAAAATGGTCTGGGAGGCTGACAAGAGGCCTACAGCAACATTAAAAGGAGCTGCATGAATATCTGGCAAGTACTGGCTGTGTGGTACATATGACAACAATCTCCCATATTCTTCATAGGTCTGGACTATGGGGTAGAATGGCAAGACGGAAGCCTTTTCTTACGAAGAAAAACAACCAAACATGGATAAATTTTGCAAAAACACATCTGAAGTCTCC